CATCACGGTCGGCGTTTCGCCGTCCGTCCTGCTACTTTCTCCGGCAATCCACTTATGACTGGACATGATTTGACTTAAATAACATAAATATACATAAAGTGTTCGGGACTTGTCGAGTAAAAATTGAAGTTACTCGGAGGGAGCTTATATAGCATCTCCGAGGGCGTTTTTCTATGAAACTCGAACCGAACAACGAGATTTCGACATGATCTTCTTATAATGAACTGAAATAAATAAAAAGAGGGTAAACAAGAATGTACCCTTCAGTTTGGACGTGGAATGCACGATGGTTACGTGCGTGTTCGATGCTCGGTTTGTTGTCCTTATGCTTCTCCCTTGCTTCGGCAATGCTCAACTATTTTTGCACTATTTTTCTACAATATTTCCTTACTATTTTATCTCTGTTTGGTACGCTGAAATTGGCATGAAAATGCATGAAAATGCACGAGAAAATTCATGGCTTTACTTGGGGTTAAATAGTAAAACCGAATGGGGGTAAGCTTGGACCAAACTTTGGGTCAAGAGGTGAAAGATGATCTTCTTTTCTTGGCTGCCATGTGTCCCAAATGTGGCTGAAGTGTTGGGCACTTTTGGCTTAGTCACGGCTGATGTGGCGCGCATGCACGGGCTTAGTCATCGCCCGTGCGTCTGTGTGCCGCCATGTGTAAGCAAGTAGGTGACTCATAGTCACCACTTGCATGCAACCTCACCCCTTTGAATATTCCACACGGAAATCCTAAGGGTGTGGATTTGAACTTGCTTTAGTTGATCATTATGCTTAAGGATTTGTAAGCATGCGCTTAGCGCCTAATGGCGTGCGCTGCGTATGCTGTGCGCGGCGATATGCGTGCTGCACGCATTCGCGTGCGCGACTGTGCACACAACGTGCGTGCATGAGGCACCTTGCGTGCACTCGAGACTTTATTTGGTTTCGACTTCGAACTTAATTCCGAACATGCTTAATTAATAAATAATCCCGACTAAAAATGTCCGTTTATAAAATAAACGGTTTGGAAATTAATTATCGACTTTGACTCGATTAATAAGTAACCGGATAAACTTTTCGACTTAAAGTCGAACTCATTTGCTGAAAATGAACGGAATTAATAAAAGATAATACATCATTTATATTAACAAGAAGTTGGGTTATTACAATCTACCCTCCTTAAAATATTTCCGTCCTCGGAAATATAAAAGAAAACATATATACATGAAAGATTTACATATCAAAACTGAAAGTCGGGAAAGCGAGCGTGAATGTCAGCCTCCTGCTCCCAAGTAGCTCCGTGACGATCCCACTGAATACGTAGAGGGAACATCACGCTTCCGGAGCCGTCGAACCTGTCGGTCCAACACAGCTACCGGTCGCTCCTCGTAAGATAAGTCTGGATGAATCTCAATATCAGTATGAGGAATAACATGATCGGGGTCGCACACGTACTTGCGTAACATAGATACATGAAAGACATTGTGAACACTGGATAGCTCGGGAGGTAAGGCTAAATGATACGCAACATCGCCCACTCGCTCGAGTACTTCGAACGGGCCAATGAACCGGGGGTGTAACTTCCCTCTCTTCCCGAATCGAATAACTTCGCGAAATGGACTAACTCTGAGAAAAGCGTGCTCACCAACCTTGAACTGAATGTCTCGTCGATGATGATCGGCGGTTGATTTCATTCTGCTCTGAGCTGTTCTGAGTCTCTGCCGGATCAACTCGACTTGCTCAGCTGTTTCCTCGATCAGCTTCGGACCGAGTACTCGACGTTCACTGACGTCGTCCCAATAAAGAGGGGAACGACATTTACGACCGTATAGTGCCTCATAAGGAGCCATCTGAATAGAAGAATGATAACTGTTGTTGTACGCGAACTCTACGTACGGCAATAACGACTCCCATTTAGCACCCCTGTCAACAGTCAAAGCGCGCAACATATCCTCCAACGTCTGTATAGTCCGCTCCGTCTGTCCGTCAGTCTCGGGATGGTAGGCTGAACTAAAGGCTAATTTCGTACCCATTGCTTCGTGTAAACTCTTCCAGAATCTACTAGTGAATCTGGGGTCTCTGTCTGACACAACAGTAACAGGTACTCAATGGAGTCGAACGATCCCTCGGACATAAAACTCAGCCAACCGATCCAAAGACATATTCATCGATACTGGAAAGAAATGAGCGACCTTAGTCAATCTGTCGACCACGACCTAGATAGCGTCGTGATGTTCAGACGACCTTGGTAACCCCGTGACAAAATCCATCGCAACCTCCTCCCACTTCCACCTCGGAATCGGTAGTGGTCGTAGAAGGCCTATGGGACTCTTATGCTCGGCCTTGACTTGTTGACAGGTTAAACATCTTCTTACAAAGTCGGCAACGTCTTTCTTCAATACTTTCCACCAAAACGATCCTTTCAGGACAAGGTACATCTTTGTACTTCCTGGATGGGCTAGATAGGGTGCAGTATGAGCCTCAGATAAAATCTCTTTTCTCAATGCTTCGACTTTAGGCACCACAATCCTGCCACGAAACTCTAAGGCCCCATCAGTGCCTCGGTAAAAACCCTCAACGCCTCCGGCACGAACTTTGGCATCAATTGTTCGAATAAACTCATCTGAAGCCTGTTCTTGCCGTATTCTCTCCCTTAGCGTCGGCTGAACCTGCATGGAATTCACACTCCCCAAACTGGCTGTAGGAAGTGCATCAACCAGCTGGATCTGCATCCGGGCGAAAAATCAACTGACTCTGCTGAGTAACAACGTATGTCAAGTCACCCTTCACCTTGCGGCTTAGGGCATCAGCAACAACATTCACCTTTCCCGGATGGTACTGAATCGTACAATCGTAATCCTTGACGAGTTCTAACCAACGGCGCTGCCTCATATTGAGCTCCTTCTGAGTAAAGATATACTGCAAGCTCTTATGATCAGTAAAGATTTCGCATTGACCGCCGTATAGATAGTGTCGCCAAATCTTGAGGGCATGAACAACTGCAGCTAATTCCAAGTCGTGCGTCGGATAGTTCTGTTCATGTCTTTTAAGTTGGCGTGACGCATAAGCAACGACATGTCCATCTTGCATAAGTACACACTCCAAACCCTGCCTCGAAGCATCACTATAGATGGTGAAGCTCCGAGAAGGATCTGGAATAGTCAACACCGGTGCCGTCGTAAGCCTCCTTTTCAGCTCCTGGAAACTCGACTCACAACGGTTTGTCCACTCGAACTTTACAGACTTCCTCGTCAGGTGAGACAAAGGTAGTGCAATCTTCGAGAACCCCTCGATAAATCTGCGATAATAACCTGCAAGGCCGAGGAAACTACGAACCTCGGACAGATTCTTCGGTGCTGACCAATTCTGGACTGCAGCAATTTTGGAAGGATAAACTTCAATACCTGCTGAAGTAATAATGTGACCAAGAAAAGCCACTCGCTGAAGCCAAAATTCGCACTTGAGAACGGCCCTCAGGTGCTCCTCGTGCTCCTTCTGGCTCTTGGAATAAATAAGAATATCATCGATGAAAACAATAACGAACTGGTCGAGAAAAGGATGAAATACACGGTTCATCAAGTCCATGAATACTGCCGGGGCATTACTGAGGCCAAACAGCATAACCACGAACTCGAAGTGACCGTATCTCGTACGAAAAGCTGTCTTGGGTATGTCTGACTCCTTGATTTTTAGCTGGTGGTAGCCTGAACGCAAATCAATCTTGGAAAACACGCAGGCACCCCTCAACTGATCAAATAAATCATCGATCTTGGGAAGCGGATATTTATTCTTGATCGTCAACCGGTTAAGATCTC